AGCAAAATACAATAACGTAAAATATACATAAAATAAACCAGACGTGACATTTACTGCAGGTTTTAATGCACTAATCGTTTATTTTTTTGTTCGTAATTTTTTTTGTTTCCATTTAGGGGGGGAAATCCATTTCTGAGCAACATTTGAATTAATATGACACAGAGCACTTTCCTGCTCCTCCGCCCTTCTCGTTTAAAGTGGAATTACAACTGTCGTAAACAACCCTGCTGTAGCTAGACTAACAACAAGCTAACGCTAACATGAGCCCACAATTACTAAAATAAACCACAAAGTAAAAAGGTCGACACTGTTGGACAAAAATGTTAATATTTACAAGTCCAGAAGCAACACTGCCAGGTCATCATCAGTCCCTGATTTAGTAGCCTCCTTTAGCTTCCTCAAACTAGTATGGGATGCCCCAATGTTCACTCTTCTTTTAGCTCACTGCTTTGCTTTCAAAGACATTACTCTTTTACTTTTACTACCATGCTCCGCCATGATACCAACAGAAATGCAAACTTCTTTTTTTTTTCCTCTTCTTGAGCTTTTTATTGACCATCTGCAAATTGGAAATGCTAAATCCTAGCATTACAGATAACAGCCGTAAAGCAGGTAAAGAGCGCCCCCTAGGAAACCTACTCGCTTCACAAAACTATCAAGTGTGGTTTTTGGTCAGCACAGGGCTGCAGAGTGTTGTCAGATATGAAACTGATCACGTTTGTAACTCAACAATCACTGAGATCAATGTGAAGTTTAAAATATCATCTGTTGTTACTTTAAATGGCAGATCTATGTAAAGTGGCTGCTGTTCCCCTCTCTTCTCTTTACTCCAACACACGGAAACGATTGAGAACTTAGGGCTTCCACTATAATCAAGTGTGAATGAACATGTAAACTTAGCCAGGTATTAACAAAACATGGGCTTGCTTCCATGCACGGCGGTTCATAGCTGCTGTGCGAATCCTGGCTGGCGTGACAGAAGAATAAAGCGCCAGCTTGTGAAGAGTAAAGAGGACTCAAACCAGACAGGCGAGAACACAGCGCACCAGCAGGCTGCAGCAGTACGAAGAAAAAAAAAACAGAAAAGGAGCATTAATAGACACCATATGTCTGCATATTCTGGAGTCTCCAGCATAAATTTCATTACCCAAACACACACAGAATGGACCATCCAAACGTGTAACGTGGCCATAGACAGCTACAAGGCCGTTATGTGTGAGAGTCATGGCCCCATCCGTCACACTGAGGGCTTTTTAAGGGGAAATGGGGGTAGCAGCTGTTTGGCTCACCTGTCCTGTCCTGTACACGGCTCTCCGTCAAACCAGAGGTTAGCACACCTTCAAGCATGTCCTCAATGACAGATGCAACACTCCCATCTAATGTGACGACATTTACAAGACCGCAGCCCCTCTGTTTCTCACACGTGTCCAATTATATGGTGCTCTGTTTGTATAAACATAGTGGTACTATGGTAGGGGGGGTACCCACGAGGCCTTCAGCTGGACTGGGTTTTGGATTTTAGGTGGGATGAGTCAACACTGTAAGATCTTGTTGTGTAGGATAAACTACGCTCTTTAGCTTCCGGTGTCAGGAACTTTTTCTCGGACTTCAGCGTGTCGAAGTCTCCAGTAAGAAGTGTGACGCCATGAATATGTGACTGAATTGTATTTAACTGTTTGCACATATGTTCCCTTGTTTAAGGGGGGGGGGGGGGGGGGGGGGGGGAGTTACCACAGCTCCGCTTAGGCCTTGGATTATCTGTCTGTGTCCTCTCTGCTTCTTTAGCATCGACATGAATTCACCCACTCAGAGTTCTATCACACATCCGCAGAGCTCCCTGAGAGGGAGTGGACCTTAGGGAAGCCCGAACAGGGGAGGAGGTGGTGGAGGGGGGACCTCAGCAGAGACGGAGCCGCCGGGTTTCGGCTGCGCCCATGGGCATGGCCCCTCTCACTGTCTGGCAACCACTTTGTTAGGCACACAACACTAATCCTCCTTGTGTCTTTATTGCCCTCTGTGCAGAAGAGGAGCAGACCGGGTGCCGGGGCTTTGGGGGGGGGGGGGGGGGGGGGGTTGTTGTTGGAGATGCACTGCTGCAGGGACCGGTGCGATCAGAGTTCCTGTTTGAAGATAGGCCACACTGTGCAGCACTAAGACATCTAATAGACCTGAAACTCTAGTGAGGGGGCGCCACAATTTGAGGATTGGCAGATTATTCTAACCAGAGAAGACTGAGACAGTTCAGGCCCATGTTGTTACACATGTGAGCTAAACAACACATTAATGTGCTGCTTCACCCTCTGTGGCTTGCAACGATTTGTCATGGACTGGATTTGCAGGAATCTCATATTTTTCAAGCATCTAACACACAATTTTTTAACAAATGTTGGTGTTTAAATCTGAAAACTTGATGGTTTGAAGAATCCAACTTTTTGGAAATGTCATCAGTGCTGTTCAGAGTTGTCCTCTCTCAGCTGGCGCCATCTTGTGCCCGTGGGGGGCAGCTGGCTGCAGACGCAGGTGCATAAAATTCAATGTCACCTTTTTCTCCAAATCTCCTCTCTGTCTCCCAGCTGTCACCTGAGCGCTCGGCAGCATAAGGTGATGGCATCAAGATGCAATCAAGATGATATGCTTGTCACTCACTCCCTGCTCTCGGTGGCTCTCAGAGTGTGAAACAGACACGAGATAAAGCCTGTGCCCAGATGGGAAGATAAACTGCTTCTAAATATTCATCAGCTCTCTCGCTGCAGAAATGTTACCCATTAGATGGCATAGAGGGGGAAATTGGTTAGAAAAGGTCTTCACTGAAAAGAGCTGAAATGAAGCAATGCAAAGAACAAATAATTTAAAAAACATAAAACATCTTAAATTTTTAATCTCTGCCTGTAGAAGCAAATTTTCATTTTTGTTGTTGCAGACTCCCTTAGCTCAGAACGTGAAACAGCATTTTGCCGTCATCTATCTCAGCTGAACAGAGCCTCTACTGTCATATTAGCAGTTTATTTTCATGTTTACACCACTTCATAACAGGATTACTTGGTAACAAACTGTAATTTGTGAAATTCCCTCATTTCAGTTTGAGGGTTTTATTTTTGCTCCTTGGGTACGGGGAGAAAAAAGTTCTGTTTTCTTGTCCCCCCTGAGGTTTGAACCCAAAAACCCTTCAGGTTTGTAAGCAGACCTCTGTGAGCAAGCAGATAAAATATATTAACTGAGCAAACAGAGGCAGGCCTGATGATGAGGAAGCAGAGAAGACGTAAGATGCTAAAGAAGGGCATGTTCTCAGCTCAGACTTTATTAAAGGTGTGGTTCACTGAAAAAAAAAATTTAATGATTATTTTGACAGAGCAAACAGAGTCGGTGGTAGAGTCATGTTGCTATTAGCCAATCGGAGGCAAGATGTCCAAATATCAGGAAATAAGACTCCAAATCCTGTCGTGTTGTGCCACTCTCTGCTGCAGCAGACTTGTCCGTGATGATCCAGACGCTTCTGGGCTTTCGTTGCCCCGAGTACGGCTTGCAAGGCATTAATTCCTACCAGAGACCACTGCAAGTGTACTGGCTAAACAAGTGTTCTACGCCTTTAACACATACAATGCTCACAAATCACCTCATCTTTCCTACCTAATATTACACTTCTGGCTGCATAAAGCACAAAACAAAATTAATGCCTCATTAGTTTTACACCTTCTGCATCATTCACACTTGATTTTCAAACTTTTCCTGGAGCAAATTGTTGAAAGAGAGCAAAGGTGTGCAATGAAAAAAGTCTCCTCTTAGTGTTACATGTATTGATAGTTTTTAAAAGTTACTGGTGAGAATAAGCTGAAAAGTGCAAAGCAAACAAACTTCTTTTTCAGTGACTGTTACACTCGAGTTATGTTTTCAGTCACTTACAGTGGCTTGAACCTTTAGATGATTAAACCCTGTGCAAACACTTCCATTCATCAGTGGTTACTGTTTCCTTTCCTGTGACTCATCCTCAAGTCACTTTTGAAACTGGATCCCAGTCTAATCATGCGTTTGATGATAACACACTGAACAGAATTAGTAATTGTACGTAACGTAAGTGAATTAATGTATGGAAATTTTCTCGAGTGTGTTCGCGGGTCTGGTGCAGTTGATCCCCAGCTGCATATGTTGGTAATCACAGCTGCTTCTTGAATTCACTCACAGGCACGCAGCGAACAACCTGCTGGCAGCAACTCCTCCGCTTTTGTCTAATCCGTCATTTCACTGGGCTCTGGGTTGGTTAGAAGAATATGACAATGAATCTCTGCAGCAGAATACACATAGGCAAATTAACAAGGATGTGTGCCTGCACACTAAAGCCCTTAGACATCAAGTCTGGGATTTACATTGGAATGCGGATCTCTAAGTCTCTCAAGAGACTGGAGCAGAAGTTTTCGCACAGACTTGGAAAAAATAAAAACTTTTTGCTCCTTTAGAGCTATTTTACAACATGGATTAGTCTGCTCAGCTGGTACTGTAAAACACAGTGAGCTGGAGACAAAACTAATGACTCAATTGAAAGCTTTTCTTTTAAGATTTTGCCAACAGTTAAAGTCCAAGTTGCAAATAAGTAAGAGACATGAATATTTCTAAAGCTCCAACAACAAAAATTTCAAATATTTAATATTTACTATACGTACCCTGGCACCCTCTGCTGGACAAAATATGGTATGGTATCATCTATTATTATTATTATTATTATTATTATTATTATTATTATTATTGTTATTTTTGTCATTATTATTATTATTATTATTATTATTATTATTATTATTATTATTATAATTATAATAAGGGAATCAGTCCAATCTTTAAATTGAAAATATGAATTTGTGTTTTCCATTCAGAGGTCAGAATGTTACACAAATAGTGGACTGTAAGTAAAATTTGTACAAGAATTGTGTTTACATTTATTTCAGAGTATAAACACCTTTGATGATTTAGTTGACATGTTTTTGTGCATGTGGAGCTTTGCCTTTTTGGAAGGGGGATAAATTGACGGATCTGGCAACCAATTCCTGCCGTTGAAAGTCTGCATTGGTCTGTACGTCTGCTGCCGCAGTTTTTAGCGTTTTAGTTCCTGCAGAAGTATAACTGTAAGCTAACTATGGCAGGGAAGAAGGCGTTGGTAATCCTGTCTAAAGGTGCAGAGGAGATGGAAACTGTTATTCCTGTGGATATAATGCGCAGAGCCGGGGTTTGTACTTGTTAACTTGTTGTATGCTAACAGTTAGCATGCTATGGTAAACAAAAGTAGCATGCTGCGGTTAATAGCTAACCCATAGAACTGACCTTACAGCAGACACCGGACCGTATGCTACAATTATGTTTAAACATAGTGGTTTATTAAACATTGATTGTGACGGTAAAGAAAATAATTAATTTGAGATAATGAGTGCTAACACTTGGTCAAGCAATAAGCAGTTTTGTCCTGCAACTATTGTTCTCCTTAACCTCAAAAGTTGAATCCCCTTTTGAGCTTGTAGTTTGTAAATTCTAGACGAACCCCCAACCTTTAGCGACTCCAGGCAGAAGCCAAGTTTAAATGTCAAAGTCCAACCTCTTTTTACCTTTCAAAATAAAAGCCTTCGTTGACCATGACGCAGGATGCCATGTAGTCCTGTTACTCTGGAGTTGTGATAACATTTTCATATTTGTAGATTACAGTCACAGTTGCAGGTCTGACGGGGAAAGAGCCAGTCCAGTGCAGCAGAAACATTGCCATCTGTCCTGATACAAGTTTGGAGGAAGCCAGCAAACAGGTAGAGCATTAAGACAAGCAGTCACATGTTAGGGAAACATCTCATGAGATGTATTTGTTGTGGGACGATGATGTGTATCAGAGCAGTTCCTGTTAATTTTGACGTTGATTCTACCAATTTCTGGATCATGGATCTAAAATTATAAGAATAAAGGAAATACATCAAAGAGTTACTTGAATTATATTTAGTTCTAAATGTTCAAATCTTTGTCAAAGATAACTTAGATTTTTTTAAAGACAGGTAATACTCATTTTGTTTGTGTCCAAGGGCCCATATGATGTGGTTGTCTTGCCAGGAGGAATGCCAGGTGCTCAGAATCTGGCAGAGGTGAGAAAATACTTACTTTTGACATTTTCATTGGCCCTTGTGCTCAGTGAGCAGCCACATGGCTCTAGAATTATTTTCATCAGATATGGTTTGCATTTGAAATCGATAGAATAGAAATAAAAACAAGTTTTTAACAACTTTTACTGTAAAGTATTTCCTTATGCTGAGTCGCATTTCTTTTGCTGAGTAGCTTGCAGATCATAATTGTCAAATATTGCATTTTTCTGCTGTAGCCCTTTCTAAAATTGTGATCAGAACATCCATAGCTGAAACATTTGATTTGCAGAAAGCTCTGCATAGCGGATACTTTTAAACACACTGCCTCTTTGTGTTATTACAGAATGGCCAGTGAATATGTATGGAGGGCCACATGGCCGCTAAGTGACTCTGTGTGCATCTGTTTTTCCTTTCTCCCAGTCGCCTGCTGTGAAGGAGGTGCTGAAGGATCAAGACAGCAGAAACGGCCTGATTGCAGCCATCTGTGCAGGTACAGCTTGTGAAAACAATCCAGCCATAATTATACACATTATCTAATAGATTTCCCTCTCTATGGGTTAAATATGGTGTGACCTTAATCTTGACAAGCATGTCTGGGACTAAAGAGATTCAGATTAATTAATTAATGACCACACAACAAGTTGGTGGAATTTGTTTCCTGTGCAGCACGACATGCTCACAACTCTGTGTCTACACCTGACGTAACTAAAAATAAACAGACAGGGACATACAAACGCTTTAGGCAGTTACTTTATTTGGTGACCGTATAGCTGTTGGGGATAAAACTGTATTTGAATATATTTGATTTTGACTGTAAACACCTGTAGCGTCTTCTAGAAGGCAATAGTGTGAACAGATGATGTGCAGGGTGAGAGGGGTCCGAGGGGATGTTTCCTGCCCTCTGTGTGATGCGTCATGGTACAGCGTGTCAGTGGAAGGTAGGGTATGGCCTATAATTTTAGATGATTTGACTGTTATGTGTTGTTGTTTTTTACGTGAGTTAGAGTCCATATTACCATACGAGACTACTATGGGTGAGGTGAGTATAGTCTGAATGATGGCAGTGTAGAACTGTACAAGGACGTGGTGCATTTGTACATGGTTTGTAAAGGTTGATTGTGCAGTCACTGAGCAAGAAGCATCTGACTACGAATGGGATGGGCAGCCATCCTCTCACGCCTAGTGAATGACACTTTAGGGTGGCCAGTTAATGAATTTTGAAGTGCACAGAGATGGACTTTCTGATTTAAAGCTGCAAAGGCAAATCTGCAAAACAAGCTAGCTTTTAAACACAAAAATGGTCACAGAACACTCACCTCTCCCATCGGCTACTATCCCCTGGCCACGCCCACCTGATATAGGAATCCACGTGCCAGGGGACACGAGAGAGCGCAAAGCACCAGTTACCGTTTTCCAGGTCCAAACGTCTGTTGTTGACTTCAAATGGTGTTTTTCTTTTTGGGACTCTGGTAGATTGTCCTAAAGTTGAAGTGGTAGCAGCCGGCTGTTTCTCCTTCTCTGATATTACTGAGCACCTCTCACACCAGTGACTGGAGGACCCAGGTAAATGCAGAAATGCGGTGGCCCAGTGAGACAAACTACTGGCATCATATACGTATGTAGACGCCTCATAGACTGGCGCTCCCCATAGGAGCTGACGTATTAGCGCAGCTGCCATCTTGGATAGGTTCCTATTTGCCCCCAGTGCATTTATTTCTACTGAGAAAGGTGTTCACCCAACTACAGTAGTCCATTTTGTTAGGGTTTGTAAGAAAACCAGATCTGTGGTGTGACATGATAATAAAAATATAAATGAATTAATTTTATATTTTAATAAAACATATGTTTGAGTGTTCATTTGAATTTATTCCACTCACTTTCTCCCTCACACACACACTGGGGCTGGGGAGCTAAACTTGACAAAAAACTTTGTGGCTGTGCTGTCACGCTGTAACTCGGTAGTTAATATCGCAATGTGGTGCAGCCTTACTTTCTGATATAGAGACAACAAAAGACTTGAGCGTGAAACAATGATTTTCAGTTCAGAAATATTAGCAAATGGAGACAGAAGATGTTCCTCTGACAGTAAGCTGATGGGGCCACTAGCGAGTCACCATAACAGACCATCAGCATACCTGTATGTCTCCCATTAACCTGAGCAACTCCACTGTTTCTAACCCTTTTTCTTGCCTGCTTCCCGTATTAGTAATTTGAAGAAAAATTTCCCATTATGTTCATTCTGAATTAGCCGCAGAAATAAAAATAGATGGGGGAATACTCGGACCAGAAAAAGCCACACAGATTTACGTCATTTTGGAAATTTGCATTCATTAATTCATCCCTTATGGCTGCCGACTGGAAGGCTGTATTGATCTTGCAGCAAAAAAAAGCGGAGTGTGTCTCGGCTTGTTGACGCTAACTATTAGCAAGTACACAACATGTTTGGGCTTGTGTTATTTGTGGAAATAAAACATTAATGTGGCATTTTTACCCAAGAAAGGAGTGAACGGAGGCAGCAGAATAGTCGCAAGGCATTCAAACCATAACTCTTTGTCACCTGAGAATTTAATATTGAAAAATACTTCACTCTCTTCTTGCAACACTTTTTAGGTTGAACCCTCCTTGTCATTCTGCGTGAAAGGTTGTGTACTTGATTGTGTCCCTGAGTAAACCCGCACCCTCTGTATTTGACCGCTTTCATAAGCAGAGAAAGGACACATGAAATACAGTTGAAATGGGGTCAGGGAACCAGTGCAGCAAAGCAGATTGAAAGGTGTCCTAGAAACGAGTGAAAACCTCACAGGAATATTCTCTTAAATGGAAACGGCAAGCGTGCTCGCTGCAAGACTCATTGTTCCGACATCTTAACCTGGCACGTTTTCAACTAGATTCCTCAGAACTGCAATCTTGTTCCTCAGTGTTCAAATAGTAAAAACGTGGTATTCGTCTTGTTTTTTCTCCACCGTCTGACTCTTTCGTGTCCCTAACTGGGTGGAGACTCGTAACAGGAGTCGTTTAGCTTTGAATGGCAGTCTGTTGTTCTGCCAGAGGAAAGTGTAATCTTGAGACTGCACTGGAAGGCAGCCAAAGGAGTGTGATCAATAACTTTCTATTTATTAACAGGTTTTGGACGAGCAGTGCGGAGACGTCACCAAAGTTAATTCAGCAGCAATCGTCTGCGTCCTCTGCCTCTCCTTATTTCTTTTCTCTAACGTGTTGCAGATGCTTTAGCAAAAACCTGAAACTGTACACTTTGTGAGTTTATTATTAGAACCAACAATAGGGTTGAGGACACTTTTAGGACACAAGTGTTATCAGATATTTTCTATGTGTCTCATTCATTTATTATTTACTGAAATCCATAATCTAAATATGCGACATTCGGTGGAATTTCATACATCTGTTTTTCTCTGTGCTGAGCTTAAGGAGGAGATACTTCCAGTTAGCAGCCTTTTGTCTTTTTCACTATGAAAAGAAAATGTGTGTTATCTAACAGGAGGTTATAAAAGAAACCTTAATCTGCTTCGCACTTCTTCAGGCCCTACTGCTCTCCTGGCCCATGGCGTCGGCTACGGCCGCACAGTAACCACACATCCTGCCATGAAGGAGAAGATGATGGCTGGAGGTAAAAATCAATAAATATTAGAGCATCTTTTAAATAAACTATTACAGCTATCAGTGGGAGAGTTTGTAAGTGTTGGTGAAAAGCAGCAGATGGTGCTGTAATAGCTTTTAGTTGCCTTTGGAGAATCATGTCAGCAGCAGTTGGAGAGCACCGCCCGCCGCTCTGAGGTGAGAGTGGGTGCAGGATTTTGACAGAACGTGTGAGAACCAGGTCTATTTAAATGTTGACTAGTTATCTTTGTGCGGATGTGTTTGGAGGACTTATTAGATCTGAAATGCGTTGCTGCTAGCTTTTGGATCTCCATCATCCTTATGGTATTGCTCTTTGTCTTTTTTTAGACCACTATAAATATTCAGAGGCTCGAGTGCAGAAGGATGGACATTACATCACCAGCCGTGGGCCAGGAACCAGCTTTGAGTTTGCCCTGGCGATTGTGGAAGAAGTTATGGGGGGTGACTTTGCAGCTCAAGTCAAAGCTCCTCTTATTATGAAAGACTAATTTATTTACAACTGTGCTAAAAGCACTGCCTGATTAACAAAAAACCCACAATACCCGAGTCAGGTCTTCTGCCACTGGACATGAAAGTGAAACATTTTCTTAACTAGACATGAGGATTTCTTTTCTAACATGTTTTGTTTTAAAATGTCAAATGCACCTTATTACAGTAAGATGGGTACTAAAGGAAAATCTGAAATAAAACAACTATTTTCACGAATTACTTGATTGTTTTGACCGCTACTGTTGTGCCACCTGAAAATAAAGCAATCTGAAGTTGCAGGTCATTGTTTTTATTTCACCTAAATATAGGCTGCTGAACAGCAGGAACGCGGGAAGACGAGTCCAGAAAGATTGGCAGCTTTTATGACCAATGAAGAGCTTCGGCTCGTCTGCAGTTGAGTTGTAATTGACCAATTACGTGTCGTGTTAGCCAGTGGGCGGTGTTTGGTAATCAGCGCGTGGTGTGTCCGAAAATCCAGACGGTCCTCATCACAGACAAGAAGAAAGACCAAGAGAAGGGATTTTGTAGAAAGGTAGGACTGTTGGGGTTTCTCTTTTACTCACAGACGTGAATGCGTGGCTTAGTACCCGCACCTCTTTCCCGCATTAGTTATTAGATAAACCTGCTGCCAGTTATTGTTAACGCGGCGGTAGTCACGGTCAAATAAACAAACCACATGGTTCGTCGCACCGCACCAATCTGCATATGTGCGTTGTCATTAGTGGGGGAGTGTTTCCGCAACAGGGCTAGTTTAGCCGAGATTAGCTCGCAGAGTGTCGAGCGTAAAGTTCGCTGCAGTCTCCAACAGACTGGATTGACAGTACCCCGACGGAGAGATTGTTGCCAGTGCAGCGCGCGCGTTGGCCCGCTCACAGATGCGCACACTGCGGGGCAAGTGAGTGGAAGCAGCGGGGCTTTAGATCCGCTGCACATATGTGAGGACACGCGGAGACATCAGCTGCAGATGGAGCTCTCCATCCTCCCAGTGTCAGCCGCAGTCAGGCTGTCTGGCTGCTGCTAATGCGGTGCGGCAGAGGCCAGGTTAAGTCCTCCACAAAGACATCTAAACACTCACGACCAGTGGAGGAGGTGTAACCTCCAGCCATCATCAAACTGCATGAACAAATCTTCAGCTGACGCTCCGATCTTCACGTTGGCACTCTGAACAAGAACAACCCGTGGTGCCTTTTACAGGAAATGCAAGTTATTTCCTCACTGGTTAGCTGCACATTCAGCAGCAGTCATTATTGTTGCATGCAAGCCAAATAACATGTAAATGGTCATCCCAATTTAAAACTCAAGTGACCTTTTCACCCACCATTGTACAACCAGAGCAGCATTCAGCCCTCTAAAGAGACTAGACTATCACTGTTAAAATCACATCCTATCAAAATCACAAGGGTGCACCTGCCTGAAAAGTTCAGGCTAATTGAGCTTGTGTGCTTTAGATGAGGGTATGTCTGTCAGGTTGGCACATCATCATCATGCATGGCAGCCTGGAGGACTAACATGACCTCTTAAACTGTGGTTGGATGACAATGTATGGCACAATGTCATTAATGTTGTGTTTTTCAGCCGGATATTTCTGGAACATTTACATTTTTGTGCCATTCCACATCACATGTTAGAATTATTCTGCTTGAGCAGCTGTACAGTAAAGAGCTGGAGGCTTGACTCCCTATTTCTGGATGGGGCAGAAGATGGTGGGGTGGGGGAAGGGTGAGGCTGAAGTCTCCCTTCCTGCCTGAGTCACTGGTTTAGCTAATGATGCAATTAGACCACTGCGTTTTGCATCTTCTGATTAGATCCCTTTCTTGCACTGGCCTGCAGACAATAAAGACAGAAATTGCTCAGCTGAGTTCATTTTATTTTTAAATGGGTAATTTGTTACATGTGGACACGTTTTCTACATCATCATAAACAACTACACAGATTTGACAATGGTGTGTACCGTGGAATCTAAAATTACAGATCACATTCAACACAAAATTTAGTAGCTTAAAAAATATAAGTACATACAATTTATATGGTGTCAACATGACACAAAATCATTCAACCAAAGGAGGATGGGCCAGGTTTACTGTTTATTGACTGTGTTTAACAAAAAGATTTCCAAGAAATTTTTTTATGAATTGAGTTCTGTTGCAGAATTTTAACTGGTTTTCTAATCCCCCTTGTGTTCTTCCTGTGTTTCTTTTTAATCTCCATTGTATTTTTTTCTTGCTTAACACACAGCATAGGTAAAAACTTTGCTATGCTCTTTATTAAGCAAGGAAAACAAAAACAATGAAGACTGCTTTTCTTCTTATGTGTATATTTTACTATACTTCTTTGGTACCCCCTCCCAACATCCTATATGTATATAGAGTTTGGCCATGACACACAGAGCTCAGTTGTGGGGCAAAATCTACGGTTGTCTTTCAAACTGTCTCCGCATGCTATTGGACAACAACCAAGTGGCATACTTATCGCTATGGATGTCAATCAACAAGGCAGTTCATCATACTCTGTTGAAGAAGACACAAATACATTCTTTTCTAAATGGAGGAATTAAGTACCTCTGTCTAGTCTTGGCTCAAGGAAAAGCCCAAGTCTAAATGGTCCAAAGTTGATTCCAAAGCCGTTTCAAATGAGCTGCCACCATCTTAGTTGTTCTCTCTCATCGCATCATCCTGCATACCAAACCAATAGAGCGCTGTTCAACCACGGCTGATGCGAAAGTCTTGTCTTAGAAACCTGTAAAAGTGACCGTCTTACCCTCTACTGTGATAAAGTGTAAACAGTATGCCATTTTCCTTTGGCTAAGCCCGCCACCGTCCCATAGAGCCCCATGCAATCTGAATTGAGCGACACTTAGGCTTAGCTAATAGTGTTACTCCTACTTCACACTGGAAGCATCAGCAACTCGGAATGGCACGCGGAAACTCACTGCTTCAAATATAATACATTATAGTCTGTGAGGTGATTCAAACGAGCTGCGATGCAGAGATTTTCAGGCAAGTTCCAGAAGCGGCACGCCGCACAGCTAAATGTAGGATTGGGTTCTACTTTTGCCGCAAGCTACTTCCAGAACAAGTCAGTTTCCGCAGTTAACATAGGGCTAGACAGGAAATCACACACAGTTTCAGTGTAAAATGCTCTATTGCAGTGATGCAATTTCAGATCTATGTGGCTTACGTCTATACGCTTGACCTAATGGCTTATTTTCTCCCTGCATTGTTAAACAGTGTGTTTTTCATGGCATTAATTCTGGCATGGAGAGAAACAACATTATATGACATCAAACAGTAATATCAAACATGAGTTCTTTCTTTTTAGTTTAATGGCAGATGGCACAAACCAACTGTAAACTTTGAAGTCTCAAAGGATTCTGTGATCTCGCGAGTCCAGCGAGGAGGACAGTGGAGAAGCTGCTCCACAGCTGAGACTCTCCCTGTGTGTCCTGGTGCACGGAAAAGCTCGCAAGTAAACTGATCAGCTGCTGTTCCGTGACGCTGATGCTTCCAGCGTGAAGTAGGGGTAGACATCTGCTTACGTACAGATGTCAATCACAGTGCGTTTGCGAGCATTTGAGGAAATATCTAGACAGAGAGTTGGTGATATTTCTTAAACAAGCCTTTTAAAGCATGCACGCATGCACACACGCACGTGCGCGCACACACACACACACACATAATTGTTAGGAATGTAAGAAAATAGTGGTATGGCAATATATCGTGATATTTTTTCCAGTGATGATGTATCGATATTCAAAAGCTGTGTATCGAAAAAATTGATTTGGCAATGCCCATCCATTCCATTCATTTTTGGCCTCTTATCTGGAGTCGGGTCGCAGGGGCAGTAGCCTAAGCAGGGAGGCCCAGACTTCCCTCTCTCCAGCCACTTGGACCAGCTCCTCCAGGGGATTTCAGTCACTACCCAAAGCTCGTCACCATAGGTGAGGGTAGGAATGTAGATCGACCGGTAAATCGAGAGTTTTGCCTTCTGGCTCAGCTCTCTCTTCACCATGACAGAACTGTACAAAGCCTGCATCACTGCAGATGCAGCACCAATCTGCCTGTCGATCCCATGCTCCATCTTTCCCTCACTCGTGACCAAGACCTCGAGATACTTAAACTCCTCCACTTAAGGCAAGACATCGTTTCTGACCTGGGGAAGGCATTATACCCTTTTCCGACTCAAGACCATGGTCTCAGATTTAGAGGAGCTGATTCTTATCTCAGCTGCTTCACACTCGGCTGCGAACCACTTCAATGAGAGCTGAAGATCATGTTCTGATGAAGCCAACAGGACAACATCATCTGCAAAAACTAGACTCAATCCTTAGGCCACCAAAACAGATCCCCTCATCACCTTGGCTGCACTTAGAAATCCTGTCCATAAAAGTTATGAACAGAATCGGTGACAAAGGGCAACCTTGGTGGAGTCCAACTCTCACCGGAAACGAGCTTGAGTTACTGCTGGCAATGCGGACCAAGCTCTGATGCCGGTCTTACAGGGACCTAACAGCCCATATCAGAGGGCCTGGTACCCAGTCAGTGACTTGATGCAATTTGCTGGGTTCCTTATATAGGAAACATTTTTTCTGATTGGCTTAATGAACTGACCTGGATTGGAATGTTTATTATGTGAAGTGCCTTGAGATGACTCTTGTCATGATTTGGCGCTATATAAATAAAATTGAATTGAGCTGAATTGAAATTACCCAATACTCCCGAAGTACCCCTCAGAGACAAGCGGCCGTGGATCTGATGAGACGACAACAAAGTCGATCATCAAGCTGTGGCCTAAAAATTTTTGGGGGGAAAAAACTTGGCTTGGTGCCAAGAGCGCAAATGATCACCTTTATGTCTGAACATGGTGTTCATTGTGGACTATCCATGATGAGCACAGAAGTCCAACAATAAAACACCGCTCGGATTCAGATCGGGGGGCTGTTCCTCCCCACCACACCTCTCCCGTTGCCCACGTGAGCGTTAAAGTCACCCGGCAGAATGAGGGAGTCACCGGAAGGAGCACTTTCCAACACCCCCTTCAAGGACTCCAAAAAGGGTGGGTAGTCTAAGCTGCAGTTTGGTGCATAAGCACAGACAACAGTCAGCACCCGTCCCCCCGTACGTATTCGGAGGGAGGCTACCTTCTTGTTCACCGGGGTAACCCCCAACGTACAGGCACCAAGATGAGGGGCAACTAGTTTGCCCATCCCTGCTCGGGATAATATGTAATATATGTGACCCCGCCCCGACCCCCCCAGCGATATTATATAAATATTCAAAAG